TATTGATGATACAATCACTGAAACACATTCTAGTTTACACACAAACAAGTTAACAGGGTTCACTTTGCTCTTTTCTTTTTCGCCTTATTATGGTGTCTTATCAAATGAAGCTGCTGCTTGAACACTGCAGAAACAGTTTGCAAAGGACACTGCTCTTCAGCTGGTGTCTGCCACTCCTTGCTTAGTGTGGCACACACACAATATGTTTGTTATGAGTGCTGTGTGTTTATCAGCACATACAACTTCAGAACTTCATTGAGCTGGCAGGTTCTGTATCAGTTTCTGTCAGCAAGAAGTGATACTTTCAGACTTGTGAGGAAGAACCTGGGCCTTTTATTTTTAACCTGATGATTTTGCTCTTACTTTTACTTTTTTTTTTTACCTAACACTCCTCCATCAGTCCTACAAACAAAAACGCACACTTACAGATTAAACAATAGTCGAGCATTCATATTTAAAGCTAACTAAACCCTGGATGTGCACCTAAGAAGAACCACCTGCCTCTGAGTTTGAGTTTTTCTAATCACTGTGGCAGTTCAATACATAGGGCGGTTTTTCAGAATTTTCTCCAGCCATCAGTCAGTTTGACTTTGTTTCATGAAAACTTCTTGTTGGTATCTCTTTTTGTTTTACAACATTTTTGACTAAGAAAACAATGTTTTTCCTCAACTGGAAACTTTATTTGCAAGGTTAACACTCCTCCTTGATGTTGTTTCTGTATTGAAGTTTATTGACTCAGTTTGGACTGACAAAATGTGATAAGAACATGGTCTTTTGAATTTTTTATCTTTTTCTACACTGAAGTGATACTTTTACAAAGTCTACCTGTTTCTGATTTGTTATCATCTCATACTGGGCTAGTTGTACTTATTTAGACTAGAAAGTACAAATAGAGACTATAAACTTGGAATAGGATACGATACTATAGAATAGGATTAGATAGGGTACTATAGGATAGGATAGGGTACTATAGACAAGATACTAAAGGATAGGATAGAATAGACTTTATTGACCCTGTAGGAACATTTGTCTTGGACATATGGCATGGAAGAAAAATATATGAACAACATGAGCCTGTTGCAACCCTCACAGCATCATATAATCAGTCGGTAAGTAATTAATAATCAATTTGGTGGCCGATAGATCAGAAAAAAAAACGTATATGTTTAATATTTTATTCTTTCTATATTATATCAGTGATTGTTACCCAATGCTCCTTTACCTATTGTATACATCACCTTGTAGACATGGCTTTTATGTATGGAAAATACGTCACATGCTTAACAATATTAGTTTTAAGTCAATATTTAACTATTTAACTATAATTACTTGGACTTGATTTGTTGTCTCAGATCTTGAAAAAGCAGTCAGTAAATTGTCAGTGCTTGATTGATGTCACCAAGTTAGCCACAAGTGTCTTATCCTAAACTCAGTGTTTGTGTCTTAATGTCAAAAGTTTGTCTAAGAGACTCGTTAAATCCAAATACGACAAAGTCAGCACTCTCCACCATCACAGAGGAGCCCTACAAGATACTGGATGCCCACTGTTTCAGCCTTAATTTCCCCTTAAATGGTGAAGAAACACCATCTTGCAGGGGCATAATTAATGAAGAGCAAATGCAGCCCCCAGCTAAGACCTTCAGCCCACATTCATCATGGATTCAATTTCCCCCATGCACGTACAGCGAGTATCTGGAATCATTACAACACAACTAGCAGGCATCCCCTGCTCATAAATAAGCCTGTTAATTGACCTGTCATAGCTAATTGCTGCGGGGGATAGGAGACTGGTGTGTGTTTAAAAAAGAGTTTGTATGTGTGTGCATGTGTCTGAATCCATCACAGTGTTTATGTATGTAAATGTGTTTGTGTGTGAAGAACTGCAAATATGTGAAGGAAGTGTGTGCTGGGAGAAGTGTTCAAACAGTCGGATAGTTTAAGACTCTTTCCTGTGTGTTGATTTTACAGCCATTAGTCATCAGCCTTGAGACAGGAGGATGTGAAGCGGACCAAGGCAAGAATCGACCCAACTGGTCCACATGTCCCAGTGCAGTGCCAGTGAGAAAGATAAGCATAGAAAAAGAAAATATAAACAGTAACAGAAGAGAAATCGAGAAACACACATGGGAGGATGGTTGCACGCAAAACAAAACCATCATCATTTTTTCCCCTCACTGTTTTTCTCTCAGCTGGGTTGTAAACTCACTGATGCACACACACACACACACACACACACACACACACACTCCCACATAGACACATATACACACACACACACACACACACACACACACACACTCCCACATAGACAAGAGTGAGTGAGAAAGAGAGTGAGAGAGGAAGCATCATGTCCAGTCAGAGAGAAGGAGGACTGAGTCATCTAGTTTACTCGGCTGGATCCCAACAGGAGGAGAGCTAACTGCAAGCACAGCTGCCAAAGAGCCAAAGGGACCTCAATGACGTGTCAACAGACAGAGCTCAAACACAGGCACTTCCTCTGTTTTGGCTCCCTGGCCGTTTTTCTCCACTATTGACTGAATGTGATACAATAAACCCAAACTTTAACTTGGTGAACTTTGACAAGGTGCAATGTGTGCACAGTCCAAACTAGGTAAGGTCATAATCCTTGGACTTAATTTGAGCTTCATATGTTTTAGACATAGGTCCTGATCAACACTGTTGTGAAGGTAAGAGTGTGTGTGTGTGTGTGTGTGTGTGTGTGTGTGTGTGTGTGTGTGTGTGTGTGTGTGTGTGTGTGTATATATATATATATATATATATATATATATATATATATGTATATATACATATATATATATATGTATATAGAAAATATATTTGTGTAACCACAAATTGTATTGAATGTAGATTAGGAATTGGCCAGGCGAGAAACCCTTGTCCCCTAATCAATTTCTAACAGTGCACTGTTTACCACATTGTTTTTTTAATCAAAACTGTATCAAAAGAAAAATAAATAGCCTACTAAATGTAATCCATAAATATAAACTTAGTAAACAAGCCCATCCACTTTATTAACATCCCAAATTCACTTATTTTGCTTCTTTCCCATAACATAATCTTTCGTATTTTCTATATCATTTGAAAATTGGATACCTGTGCATGGGTTGACTATACAGTTTTTGTAAGGTGATGTTGTCATGACATTAGAGCTTGACCAATATGGGTTATAAAGATACTCCAAAAGCTGCCCGCTTTAACATTAAATAATATTTATCGTCAACCAAATATACTGACCCCCCCCCCCCCCCATCAGCTGAAGACAATGTTAAAATAATTATAGGTTATGTAGTCGATGTGCTGTGCTGGACAAACTTGAAGACATAAGCATTGTTTAATATTACATTTCTGTAATATATGTTCCATAAAAAGCAATCATATTGGAAAACATTTCCTTTTACATATATTTCTGCAGAAAGCCCATACTGTATGAGACATCACTAGTTAGCATAACATCCCATTTTAGTCTTCAGTCAGCCCCACTTTGCTTTACAGGAGATGTGAAAATGCGATCGGAGAAAGATTGAATAATAATGAAAAGCATTTTTATGACAGTGACTGGTGAAGTGCATATCTGAAAAGGTGAAACTGATCAGATTGATGAAAGTCAGGATTGGTACTATTATCACACCAGTGTATTGGATTACTGAATCACCAATTTCACACGTTATTTAAATGTATTATTTCTTTATTTTTTTCATCTCCTCTCATGACACAATGCTACTCTGAACACATGGTGGTTGGATCTTTGAAATTGGTGTGAAACCTGGTTATCCACCCCAAGATTGGCTCTTCCCTGATGACGTGAATAATCTTCTAGTGACTGTGTGCGTATAGGCTGGCTGATGACATTCAGCAGAAAATAAGATGAATATTCACTCAAAGGCGCACATTTATCAACACTCCCCTCAGTACTTAAATGTCAAAGACGCTCCAATACATTTATTTCTTGAAAGAATTATCAAAAAGTCTCCCATATCAAAGCTTTAACTGAATTTATACTCATTATATTCCTTAATACTTTTATTGTTACTTCTTTCCCCACAAATTTGATGAATACTAATGTGATACTACTTATTGTTTCCAGTGGGATAACTCCCTCGTCACTTTCTTTATGAGACTGTGATTTGCTGCACTGGCTCAGGTGCTGGCAGAGTCACAACAGGCTAGAAGTTGACTAATATACAGACTGAAATCTTCCTCGCACCATGCATCTTTAAACCCTAACCCTAAAATGCCAATGTTAAGCTATATTATAAATATGTGTTAAAATCCAGGATCTCATGAGTACATCTTAATTTGATGACTTTCTCCTGTTCTTTAGGCTTTAGATGTCACTGCGGGGAATTCTCTCTCAAGAAATCATCTAATTTCAAGCAGAGTTTTGAGCCCAATTCTTTGTTGAATTCTCTTGCTTCCTCAACTGCCACCAGAGAACAAAATCCCTCGGTTCTATCTGAGCTGCAGCGGAGCCCGTCCTCATGGGGAAATACATGGTATAGAGGGACAGGTTGCAATAGAGGAAATGTCTCTGAGAAGAGAGAGAAAACTGGAAATAAGAAATACAGAGAACATGAAAGAATATAATTCATTTTTTTCCCTTTTTAGAGCAAGCCAGAGCAGAGCTGACAATGGTGTCAGCACATGGTGTAAAGGCGCCGGAGGCTGATTTGAATTCAGAGGTTGAGTTCTTTTACCATCAAACTAAATAATACAGAGCACACTACATTTACATGTTAGTCCCTGAACAGATGACAGAGGGTCAAACTCTGGATAAAGTTCTGCCTCTGCATGCAGTACATGCTAGCTGCTTAGTGTGGCTGCAGGGATCAGGGAAGCGTCATACAGTACCTGTCATAATATCCTTAAAGGTTCCTATGTTGTATTCATATTTGTTTTAGACACCACAGACAGTAAAACCAACCTTGTTCTTTTCATTATTTCAAAAAAAAAGAAGAAAGAAGTCTACGCAAAGCCATTACCTGGAACGGTCCACTGGGGCTGATGTCGAAGAAGGCTTTCTTCCAGTCAGGGCCCTGATGACCAGACCGCGTCCACTGCACCGTGTCCACAGAGGCGATGCTTCTCACTCTCAGAAGCACATTGAGAGCACCTGTATGCACATGTGCACAGACACACACACACACACACACACACACACACACACACACACACACACACACACACACGTACAGACCATTAGAAGCTGTCAGTGAACTGTCAATGAGCAGAGACTGAAGAATGAGTCATGCTAAGCTGTGAGCAGATCTCAAGATGATTGAAAACGAAAGGGGGGACATTTTAGACACAAGAGCCCACACAGAATGAATTATTTCCACAAACACAGACATGTGTTTCAGTCTTGACAGTTTAAAAGGAGCCCATTGTGAATAACTTAATAAATAAATACTGTGAGGCTGCATTGTACGAAAAGGCTGTGATCTGAGTTGTTTTTGATCACACTGTAGTCGGCCTTAAATTGTTCATATCAATTTCATATGATAATTGATTCATAAATATGCAGTCATGTGAGAAGCAGAAAGTAATGCCAGTAAAGCTACTACATGTTTTGCATCCCAGATACAATACATTTTTTTAATTTCTTCCAACAAACTCCAGTGGACCAAACCCTAAACAACAGAACAGACTGCTACACCTGTGATTTACCACCAAATATTATAAATCCAGATTTTTACACACCCCAAAAACAAGGCTGTGCTGTGGCATCTCCTGATTTACGTTAGACATGGAAACATTGCCTTGCATATACTAAGATGAGGCTCTAAGGTCAGACACCGTATCTGGATGACATTTAGGAGAAAATGAAATGTGTAAAGCCTGAGTGGTGGAATGTGTTGAATTCCACATTGACAGTCCGAGTGGAGCGTTTTATTACAGACATAAATGGAGAAAAAGGACAGCAGCAGTAAGGGAGGAAGAGGACAAGTCGGACACAGCTAATGGTGAAAAAAAGGATCCGAAAGAAATCAGACCACATTTAATTTATTTTGTTTTCTTCGATCTACATAAAACACTCCACTGCCATGTGAGGTTTAGTTGGCATCTCTTAGTTAAAACATTTGCAGCTAATGTGGAAACATCACATCAAAACTGATTGTCCTGAATCCCAATAAATAAGTAACAAAGCATTACACCTTTCGCCCCATAAGGTAGTGATCTAAATAGTCTCTGGTCTCTAAGGTGCAAGAGAATCATCTATCTTCTTAACGATCTCCAGCCAGCTCCTAATTACAATATTAACCAACCACTAGTCTCTTTAATAAGTATGTAAGCAGGGGGCAGCATTACGGTGTGTTGTTTTCTGGATGTAAGTAGTATATATGTGTATGTGTGCGTACAAATCTTCATGCCGATGTAAGGTTGTTTATGTCCAAAAATCTTTGTCACTCTCTGTGTGTCACTTGACTTAATGTTCTTCAAACCTTCAAAAGAAACAGCCGGTTGGCAATAGTAAAAGTCCTACTCTGTAAAAAGAGAGGTGTGACATAGCAGTTAAATAACATGTTGAGGATGTTTGTATTTGGTTCAGGAAGGGATGCAGTGGGAGGCTGACTGTCAATCCAGTAATCACTCTGAACTCTCATAAGACACCACATTTTCTTTTTAGCTTTTCCCCATCTGTCATTTCTTTAAGACAAGTTTTTACATTCAAAATGTACAAGTAAACTTTAATGAAACATAGACGATGCTAAAAGTTTCAACTCAATGTTGGGCTGAGATCTAAGTCTGATTTTCCCAAATCACATTTTTATCAGATAACTTTTGTTTAAAAAATATATACTTCCACTTAAGATGTCAAAATGTGCCTCTCCACTTTTTTAGTCAACAACAGATGGCAAGGTCTGCACCATACGTGTACATTCGATATAAATGTGGAGCTAGTGTTTGATTGGCGTAGCTTAGCATAAAGGCAGGACACCTCTTGTCATCACTTAGAGGAGCCTCCAGGAACTCACTGTGCTCAGAAAATAGTCCTTCAAGCATCTCCTCATAAAGCCAAAACATTTCTTTTTAAAAACTGTTTTCAGATAAAAGTCCAACCAGGAATAGCATGCACTCACAGCTGGAAGAGTCACATATGCAGCTGTTCATCACATTCAATTTCAAAGGGCATGGGTGACACCACAGTTATATAATGCTAAGAAACATTGTTTCTTTTTTCTGGTTCAGCCCACTTTCACCTGACTGCCCTGCCTCTCTGTCTTCTTTTTAGTTATTCTTTTGGGCAAAAATGCCTTCCCTGGTCAAGACAGCTCAAGAGAGACAGGAAACATCGGAAAGAGAGAGTGGGGGGGGGGCAACATTCAACAAAGCTCTGAGGTCAGATTCCAACCTGTGAGTTGATGCAACAAGGAAAATAGCTTCTGTATGGTGTGTGCAAAATAACCACAAGGCTGTCCTGGCCCCCTCCCTAATCTCTTTCTAACTCTTTATATCTGAGCATCACCGTCTCCTTTTTTGCCAACAATCTTTATCTCTCATCTGTCTGGCACCTCCACTATACCACCTCCACACTCACACAAACACACACCCAACTGAGGGGAGAGGAAAGAGGAGTCTGATTAGCAGTCTATTGATTTGACCGAGGTAAAGCCGAGTGTGTTCTTGAGAGTGTCAGAGAGGCAAAGGAGAAGGCACAGCTCTATCAGGGCTACTTGCTGTGTAACCATGAGTGAGAACGACAGCAAAGATACACACACAGAAATGTAACCCATAATGCTGTCTTCTTTCTGATGATTAGAATTAAACATTGGATCCTTCATCCATGCCTAAATAGGGGTCATGCCCTCTTTGTCTTCGTTTCTATGCTGGTTCCTCTCAGAAAAAGACAAAGCTCTGACAAACTGTACAAACAAGACAATGAATTACTGTCGATGATCTGGCTTCTGCCGGCAAACAATAATCCAAAGCATGTTATTCAGAGTTGTAAGTACATAACCAATTCAGGAGCATGAGAAAAGAGACAAATCTGGATTTAACTTAATCCATTTTAAATTAAATCTTGCAACACAACAAGCTTATCATAATGTCTCTCAGAAAATGAAAATCCAAACCTGAACACTCAAAAAAAGAAAGGAATTAAACACAGATTATTACAATATTTAGCTTGCCAAAGGCTTTGCTCACAAAAGCAACCCTTCCACATTTATACAACAAACTTGTTCAAGGTCTTAGTAAGTAAAAGTTTAATACAAATAACACACATACAAGAGGTATGATATTTAAATAACTTCAAACTCTGATTGCTCTGAAGTAAAATGATCTAGTGATTCCAAGTAAGCTTGCCAGTGGCACTCTGCAAACCCAAGCCGAGAATTCTGAAATACTACTCAATGCCAAATCAAACTTAATTAAACGTTGTTTATTGTTGCTGCCAGCCAGCCTAAAGAGAAACGCATTAAGGTGAAAACAAAGTTTATTTGCATTTTTTCTCTACCCTTTACATTTTTTTTAAACACTTCCTAAAGATACTGTTACCTGTTTAATTTTCACTTGACCTCACAATTGCAGCATGTATGTGAGCAGAAGAGGAGTACCATTTAAAAAAAAAAAAAAAAAAACTTTTACATTAAAGTATCTATAGGCTTTAAACATATACAGCCCTTTTAACACTTCACAGCACTTGAGCACTATACGATTGAGTTCATTAAAAGCAGTTCCAGTCCTTCAGAGTAAAGCACGACCTCTTCCATCCTCTCCTTACTGATGCACATTAACAAGTTGATGGCTTCTCCTGCAGCTCTCTGTTCTTGCCCCCACTTCTTTTCTTTTTTTTTACCTCTCTAACTACGCTCCCTCGTACACATTTGCTTGGGCTCCCTTTCTTGTCGCACTTCATTTTCCTCAGTCCATCTTTCTTTCCTTCCATCCTCTTCTCTCTCTCTCTGTCCATTCATTAACCCTCCTCTTTCCAAGGCTCGCCAATCCTTCACCCTCTCCCTCTTCTTGTCTCCTCTCACTGACCCCCTCTGTCTTATCCCTGTCTTGTCTCTCTACGTCATTAAGAGTCACACTGTGTCTCCACGGCCGGAGTGTGAGGTCTGCCAAGGTAAGGCAATTACAGTGGAAACAAATTGGAAGTGACTTGAAGAACAACAGAGTAGATTGAGGGAGGGCTTGTAGCAGAGGAGGGAACAACTGGTAACATAATGTACTAATCGTTAGCACGCGCTGTGCGAATACAGTAGTATTGTCTGGTCTCATTGATTTGTCTGCATATCTTAAAGAAAATGCTTTAGTATCTATTTCAGATGACTCATGAACTGCTTTCATTGAGAATGTGCATACTCCTTGAGCTCACCACATGTTGCCTGTGAAGGGCAGTTTAGATGTTTGTGAAGTACAAATGCTTCAAGAAGGCAACATTTAAGCCATGCCTAAGCTCTAGGGCTTACAAAATAGTGCTGATGCTAGTTTTTTTCCATACAAACTAATATAAGCACGAAATATAAAGTGAATAGTTGTAGTCTGATTTTGTTAACGGAGAATTGCTCCATTGTTTATATATACAGGTTTGGTGTGCACTATTTGGGGTGGATGGATGAGCTCATCAGGTGAGCATGTAAGCTGATGATTTTTGTGCGGGCTCTGAGGGGGTTCAGAATCATGTAAAGTGGTTAAGGAAAATACGTTTTTTTTCATCCCCATATTAAGTTATTTTTGTGTCAAAATTAGAACAGTGTCTTATAGCCCCACTAAATAGTGTTCATGACTGCAGACTAATGACTATGTAGTGTAGTCACGTCACTGTACATTCAAATGAGTGCTGCAAACGTCTGTGGGGAGAAAATAAAGGTTATCACATATTTATGTGAGAAAAGTGTGTAGCTAATGTAGCAAAACTTGAGTATGATACAATACGATACACTTTATTGTCCCCTTGGGGAAATGTGTCTTGGACTCAGAGTGCTGCACACATTCAGCGGCCTCCAACAACTAGAACAGGCAATAAGCAGCAGCATGCAAGTCAAGCTGTACTTGAGCTAGATGCATCATTATGCCTACATGCTACCAATGATAATGCTTCGACCAGATGTTCCTCGGCGACTAATTTCTAAGTTGATTGAAAAGAAAATGTAATTCAGCTCAACCAACAAATCTAAAAGTTAGAAAACACTCAGCAAAAAATGGGCTCAATTTATTTAAATGTGTCTGCAGGTAAACAATGGAACTGAGTTTGCCCACAGTGTGGTTATCTTAAGCAGAAGCTAACACCTCCAGCCTTTTGTCCTCCTTACAGGTTACCATCCACATTCCTGTGATAAATGTGGTTACACATTGCTCCAATAGGTATTCCAATTTAACCTGACAGGGCCTACATACATTTATATCTCCATTTTCTGGATCAATATTCGAAATGACGCACCGCTTCTACAAGATGCTATCTTTTCACTTTGCTTGTTTACATCCAGGCAGAAGAGCCAGAAAAGCCAAAAGTGAAGGCCCAATAGCTGGGGATTTTACTATATGGCTCCACCCCCGGCTAATTGGAGGCGGCTGCATTAAAGCTTGGACCAGTGTGAGGGCCAATAAATAGAAATACCAATAATGCATTAATCGACTAGTAATTCTGGTGCCAACTAGCGAGGGTGACAATCAGGACAAGGTTTCGTTTAGTGGAAAAGAGGAGGAGTCTTTAACAATGGTGGCTGTTTCTAGGTAAATATCACTACTTTATATATACAGATGTTTCAACAACACAAACACAATAGCAGGCAACTGAATAAAGAAAACAGAGGCAAGCAGTAAAGAGTATAAAGCAGCTAAACTCCACTCAAGGAGAAAGACGTCATCAGCCTGCACACTCGCTCACAGTGAATGTTCCGGACTATTACCTGTTGCGTTCACACATCGGCAAGCCCAGACTTTGAGCAGACTTTTCTAGCTTGGGGGCTTGCAGCAAAAAGTCCACATAAAGTTAGGGGGAATAAGGTAAAGAGTTTGCATTCACACATGTACCTCCTCTCAGGCAATGTCAGGAGATTTTCAGGAGCGCAGTACGCTTTGTGAAAGTAGGTTCAGACACTTTTCCTTAAATCTCTTCCTACTTTAAAATATCTATGCAAACACACAGACGAACACTAACAGTATGCCCTTCTGCACACAATAACATCCTGAGGAAACAGGGCAGGTCAGACAACAAATACTACAGTGAAGCCTGCGTACTGGGGCCATGGACACATAAATCAACATTATGGATGTGTTTGTGGGTGTGTGTCTGAGAATTTGAGTTGGTTTGCTTTTATGTATTCCCAAGTTTTACTATATGCTTTTTGCTGGAAACCATGCCAGAGTATACAGTAAATGTGAGTGTGTGTGTGTGTGTGTGTGTGTGTGTGTGTGTGTGTGTGCGTGCAGGTGTGTAGGCTACAAGACATATGCATCTAGCAATGTGACAGAGCATATTATGATGAACAGCTCCCCCAAATGACTGATTGTGTCTTGCCACTGCCATAAATCACACGCCCACTGCCCCCTTCAGCCACCTCCAAACACACACACACACACCTACACACCTACACACACACACACACACACACACACACACACACACACACACACACACGCACACACGCTGAGGCACAAGCAAATACATACAAGGGAACTTTGGTAGCACCCGACCCGGTTGCTCTATTCAACACAAACACACACACGCACACACACACACACACACACACACACACACACACACACACACACACACACACACACACACACACACACACACACACACACACACACACACAAGCACACCTTTGATGATGTGTCTGACAGGCTCTACAAGTGAGGGTCAAGCACAGAGTTCAGCTTCCGACAGAGAAGGAGTGATATGAGTATCCTGATAGTATCAGGGGTCACTATATGTGTCATTGTGTTGCTATGGATGGTTGCGGATAGGTTATTAGTGTATGTTTATAAGCAGTTTTCTTTGTGGTATGACTCACCAATATGCTTGCCTTTCATGTGGTAGTAGAAGGAGACACAGTATGGAACCCTGCCGGAGCCTTTTGGGCCTCTGACTGAAGTCACATTAAAAAGTGGAGAAAGCAGACGAGCCTTGTCGCCCTGAACACGCGGCCTTGATGCTTCAATATACATGTAATATCCTGGAAAACAACAACACAACACTTTTTAGAGCCACTTTCAAGAATGCGACACAAACTTAAATCCAATTATGATTGAAAATGCTGCTCAATATTTCTGTTTCTTAAGTTTTAAACTATTTATTAAGCACAATATACAGGCTTACAACTTCAACACACAGAGCTGAACCTGTACATGAATAAGTAATGGTTCCCCCTGTTTACTCACCTTCCTTGGTTCCACTGCGGTCAGTCTCCGGGCCAGTGTTGACAGACCGCTTGGGATTCTGCGTTAGGTGATTCTGTCTCGTCCAGTCAAAGACATCGCTCCGGTCTTGAGTGAAACCACAGATCCGCTCATCTTCGAAACCACACACATGGTCTGAGATAAGTGGAGAAAAACAAGAGAGAAAAACAGATTAGATCAGTGACATGTCAGGCAGGTTGACATTACAAACTACAAGACAAATACCAGGGAATCAATGGCTGTGATATGGCTGTGCAATAATTTATGAAATATGCACTTCCTAACATCAGACAGGCAATTACTGACAAAGTGACTAAAACAATGTGGGAGGCCGGGATTAATATGTAAAACCAGAGTAGATATTTTGCTCTCTAAACTGTATGACTTCCACATGTAGAATAAATTACACAAAACCACTTATTATTAAGTAATAACTTATTATTATTATTATTTTGTCAGGCTTCATCAAAGCAACATAAGCTTATCAGTACTGTACATATATCCATTAATCAAAAAAGAAGGCTTTCTCACAAAACAAACAATGAGGCCTTCACATTTTTGGGAAACAGACAAAAGAGAATGAAGCATAGTAATCAGAGGTAAAACAACCGTCCTACTGAACTCTGGTTTACACTCTGTATTGGTGATATTTAAATGTTTTTACAAGATATTTCTTTGTATTATGCAAGGGCCGTTTCAAATGCAAATTTGACTGAATAGCAATATTTTATAAATCAGGAGGTACAGTACAGTATTGTCGAAATCCGTGGGTGCTCATTTGTAGGTAAAATTTGGTATCAACGTTGAGAACTTCAGCGCATGGATTCTAATATCTAATAAAATCTACCACTGAAGAATTTTAGACTCACATTTACAGTTAGAGCGATGGTTTACTGATACCGTTATTAAACTAATCTGCTAGTCTTTCCCCATCTGTTCATCTCAACCAGCTCTCAAAGATCAGCGTTGTTCTCACAGTAAAAGCCCTCTATGGTGCAATGATCAGATGCATCCATTGATGAAAAGGATTCTTCTTTGATGCTTGGGGAACTTTTAATATTCTCACTTTTTTTTTTTTTTATGTCAGATGTGTGTTTTGATTTTGCCACGGATGTAGGGAGGGTCAAAAGTCAAACATTCTGGGAATGATCACTTTGAGTTTTTATTCTCTTTGATTTTGACTCTTCTTGTGGAAACTAGACAGAAGGGCTTCTCTCTGTGGCGCTGTCCCCTTCATTAGCCCATCTGAAGGGCTCTGCTATTATCAGACTCTCACCAAACAAATGAAAACTGAGGCAAGCGCCACAAGAGCTATCGAAAACTATCAAAGCTGACAGATTCAGTGAAGGCTTCCCGGACACTTGCACAGTCCGCTGCAGATGCATATGGTGGCTCGCGCTCCCCACGAGGATAGCTCGTGTGTGTGGCGTCTTTGTTTCAGGGAGCTAATCTATTACTATTCACACCCTGCTCCACTACACGCGCTCCTTTCAATTTGCACTGTTGTTCTCGCAGTCTGTTCCAATCTGCTGTTGTTTTAATTGCCTCACCCTGCCGGAGCCAACTGCCACTCCTGCCAGAAAAATGCTGTGCATCTCTTAATGAAGAAAATAGACAAGATGTGCAATTGACTGAGGAAGAGAGAGGGATGGCAAGACGGAGGATGAGAGGCAGAGGGGGAGCAGAAGTTAGGAGAAGAGATTGGGAAGAGGAGCGGGGGCCAACAGACAGAAAACTCAGGCATACTTTTACAGTGATGAAACATATTTCTAACACTGTTTCATCAAGAGAGTTTAGAATATTTCCCCCCAAATACAGACTCACAATGATGATGACATTTTAAATGTCATGGGCATGCTTTCAGCTATCAGATGCTTTCTCACATCCTGCCGTTACAATGCTCTCCTCCCTAACAACAGATTTAATAAATCCACAGTCCAGGTAATGGCAGACTTTGCCTTGACAAACTTGTGCTGACATCGCTTTGAGCATAAAAGCTAAATTAGCCTGCACCAAAATTCACCAAGCCTTCCTGAATCCAGCACCCTCTCATCAATCAGGTCACAACAACAAGGTCAACACTGAAAAGTAGGAAAGAATAGAGAGAATGGATGACTCACCTGAGGGTCTGGGATAGGTGTAGGCTGAAAGAAAAAGAAAACTGATTAACACTCAGATATACAGAGAACATAAATTGTATGGTAGATAAAAAGTAAATAAAAAAACTGCTTGGAAGTATTGAATTTCAATCACTCTTACGTTCTGAGTACTGTATGATACGACTGATGTAGTCCCCGGTGCTGTAGGTGGTGATGGGGGCCAGACGGACCTCGTAGGACAGAGGGATCCTCAGGTCTGATATAGTGTGGGACAGCAGGACACCCTTTTCCGGCTCCTTTCCCTTGAGGTCTATCTGCTTGGACAGCAGGTTCTGCTTGTTCTGGATTTGTACAGATAGACACACACACACACACACACATGAACAGTTGATACACATGTGAAGATTCATACTCAAGTATTTACACAAACGCAAACTGAGTTTTCCCATGTGCTGAGGCTATAGTCCACCAAGCGGACAGCCTGGGTTCTAATCTGACCTGATGCTCCTTTCCTGCATGTCAATCCTCACTCTGTCTCTGTCACCGATTTCCAACTCTTTTGCTCTCTCTCATATACATACGTGTGTGTGTGATTCAAGCTATAACCTCGACCTGTGATCAGTGTTTTAGAAGCAAAATTAAATGATCTAAACACAGACGTTTGACATCCTTTAACTTTTTAATTTATATGTACATGCTTCCTCATATGTCCTTTTCATACATCTATTTAATTACCTGTGTAAATTGAATTAGGCATGGGCATACAAATGGTCTATGGTTCAACAACCATTTAACACACCTCAATACTTAGATTAACCTTTTCAGACTAAATACGTTTTTCCATCTCATCCTTTATCTGTAAGTAAAGCAGCCGTCAAAACAACAGCTTGCTACGATCTCCTCTCACTAGATGTTCTGACGGCCATTAAAACGTTTGATACTTTGAATACAGAGATGGTCTCATGCACTTTGGTCTGTCTGTTGGTCCACTGATTGTATAATCCCTAACACAATGTATCATCACCCCCTCACCAAACACTTGACATGGACTCCATACTGTAATTGTAACTGTAAAAGCATATAAACCCCATCTGTGTTATATGGGATAAAGCATTCTAGAGGATATCTTTAATCCCATTCTATTGTAATAGAAGTGAATTGGCTGTAAAGTACTGTCTTGTATCAGGGGTGGGTTTTTTTTCCAATCGCACCACTTTTAATAGAGCTATTGCTGTGTTATTCCACCCACGGATAGAAGGATCCATTAGCTGTGTATCTGCCTCTGATCCCAGCTACTTAAAGACCTGACAGTGAGCTCAATCTAATGCATTAGGTCAGCCACTCCACCATAACACCTTAGTACACCCACAGCATGCCATTATCACGTAATGCATGCAGCAAAAGTGTGCGTGTATGAGTGTGTGTGTGCAAAGATGCTTGTCTGTGCATGGTAAATGTCTCCAACGCAAAGCACTTACACAGCTACCTATCAAAGTATATCAAGTTTGTGCACATGTTATGCACCCTGAATTTAGAACAATTTATTGCATGTCCTGTCTAACTTGAGATTGATTTAATGCACTGAAGACCCTTTTAATTTGAAGCATCACACCACAGAAAAGCTGCGAGACAGAAGATATGGTCCTCGTAAAAAAGCAACAAAAAGGTTTTCATAACGATTCATGAATTACATGTATGTGGTTATTATGAAAAAGAGAGTAATAAGTGATTATATCATATGTTTATACATACAGGAAAAACTAAAATAAGTGTACACACAATGACTAACAGTTTGAGGAGTCATGGAGAGACACTGATGCATCCCTTCACTTCCTTCTATAATTACTTCAGCGCTGTATCCTCTGACAATGCTGCAGTGAAATCTGCGTCTCCTCCTGTCCTCTTACAGTTCTGGTGAGATGCGCTGTTGCCATTGGATGTCTACTCACCACCACAAATTCAGACTTAGCTACACTGAGCTGATCGTTTCTATTGACAGGACCATGGTGGCTCCTGCTCAGGCTGCAAAGAATTTAGTATGCCTCCAATTATTTTGTGTCTCACATGGCAGCCACAGCCAAATCCCTGCAAGTTTTTGCTCTGCAACATGCTGGGAATCAAATCCTTCCCTCCTCACACGCCCTATGCCACTTATAGCTGTTAAATCTTTATTTTTCAGTGACAGTCTGGCTGTTCCCTTCTCAGCTGCTACAACTTTTTACTCTTACCAGTCATGGGCCATTTTGGTATAACAACAGAAATCTCTCATGCAGACCATATCTGTTCTATTTCTTTAACACAAACCCAAAACTCATCAAAGCACAACAATGGATTCCTTCTCTAATGTATATAAATGATTTCTTAAAATCCTCCCATCTTCTCCATAACTAGCATTTTGATATTGCTAGAAAGTCGTTCTTCAATGAGGGTGTGTACACAAACATTAGAGGGCATTAACCTTTACACACAAGGCTACTGTTTGATTTTACTGAAGTTGGAGTGATCTACAAGTTTCCGTTTTCTTACATTACAACAGCTGAGTTGCATTAGTGTGATTGGAAAGAATTAATTAAACGGAGACTAAGCAAAAGATTTTGTAGCAGGAGGTTATAAACAGGACACTGGCTCTGTAAACAAAAGAAAAGGCAGCAAAGTGACCTTTTGGTTAATAGACTGTCACATGAAGTAAAGGTCAGAGGTTTCAATTTCCCACACAGCCATGGGTCTTGTAGAACTTTTTATAGTTAAGGTCCCAATACTCAGATTCTTTGCTAAATTAAAGATGCAAATACAACAATATAAAAAAACCCACTCATTTACAAGATTCATCCGTTGTAACGTATTTTTAGGTTAAAATGTAAGTATTAATTTGAGTATAATTTTACTGTTGTAGCTTTAGTCGATTTAGTTTAAAATACTTTGATAGTTTTGTCTTTGGCTTCCAACCTGGGATGTGGTCCAACCATCTCTATGTGTAAAGGATCATTAGATGTTTCATTGGTGATTAAAGAGAAAGATAAAACTGTTCTCATACAAATATTTCAGGCTGTCTCTGGTCTTTGCTCTCTTTTCATATATCAGTAAATTCCACATCTGAATGTTTGGAGGTGAATGTGTTTCTTTGGTTTAACTGTGACAACTTATATACATCTGAAAATGTGTTCTGTAGACATCCCTTCCAGCATAGTAAGATAACGGCTCATTTTTTCCCCGAGTTACCATCACAAGTAACTATATAAATCCATATATTGACATACAGCATAATAATATTTTAATGTGAGGAGGTACATGGTAAGAATGTATCGTTGTCCTTTTAACTTCCACTTACGTTCACATTCATCCCTACAAACATTTACACACTGCTCATCCAGCAAATGCATAATTATGTGAAATACAGCAGCAAAGCAAAGCTCTGCTCATGTAATATGCATGGAGTGTGTGTGAGCAGGGAGGGATGAGTTAATAATGTTGAGGAATCACAGCCTCAGCAGTCAGGAGAATGTGCTTTCTTCATGGGTGGACACTCAAACACATGCTCACACACTTGTTCTGATCCACTTTGCTGTGTGGGAGTTGAACAAATAGACACACACACACACACACACACACACACACACACACACACACACACACACACACACACACACACTTCACTGTGTGGACCCTGAAATGCACTTTGAATCAATGAGGTGTTGAAGTGTGACTCAGAAGAATTCAGCTGCTTCCACTGCTGGTTAAAGTCTCCCTGACTTTGCCTCTGTTTCTTTCTCCCATCATCACTAGGTCAAGGAACATCATTTGTGTGTGTGCGTGTGTGTGTGTGTGTGTGTGTATGTGTGTGTGAGTGTGTGTGTGTGCATGTGTGTGGTGCTTCAGTGTAAGACAGGGAAAGGCAGTAAAGATATACAGCTTGTAGAAAAAAAACAAACAGGAGACAGTCATGACTGCTGTGAGTGAATGGCATATTTCAAAAGGAAGAAATGTTTTTTTGGGCCTACTGATATTGAAATCAAAATGTCTGTTCGCCCATGTGTGTGTCTGTCAAGATTTCACGCCAAACAGTGTTTTCAGTTTCGACTTTATCAGACTGTCAACAAAGAGACAACCCTACAAAGAAAGTGTGAAGGAGGGCGAGAGTGTGATAGAAACAAAAACACACAGAGACATGTGTGTGTGTGTGTGTGTGTGTGTGTGTGTGTGTGTGTGTGTGTGTGTGTGTGTGTGTGTGTGTGTGTGTGTGTGTGTGAGAGAGAGAAAATTTGGTTTGACAGCGTGAGAGGATTCAGCCTCTTCAAACACTTCTGTGTGGGGTTAATTTGTCTGTTATCCTCTGTTAATGGATCCTTTCATGACTGACCCAGCAGTTCACTGATACAGGGGTGCTCATGGGAAAAAGTCATCACTGTGCATGTGTGCTCTGTGTCTCTATGTATCTATCCTCTGCTCTCTTTTTGGTCTGCTGTGTGAATATTAAAGTGTATTTGCATGGAGAGGTTGGTAATGTACATCAGTTATTCATACATTTGATTTAATGCACAACTCTAATTCATCATGAATATTTTTAATTTCTCATATATATGATAATGGGGATGTGTGTTTTTGTATGTGACTGTGTCTGGGTGCAGAGAGAACCTGGGTGCAGCTGTGAGCTGACGCCAGGTCAGCTGCACATCTTCTCTGTGATACGTAACATGCACAAGCGCAAAGCTGCAGGGAGAGAGGTGGTCGGAGAGAAGTAAGTAGGACTAGGAGCAGGGAGGAGAAAGGTGTGTATAGTGTATGTGTTTATAATGACTACATTTTGGTATACATGTGAATGATTGATACTGGTTAGTTTTGACGCAAAATCAAACAGCCAGTCTTTAGACTGGTGTATTTATGTGTCTCTGTCTACTAATGTACAGTATATGTTGTTCTTTTGTCATTACTTGTTATATTGTGGTTGTAAATTTGTTTACCAACCTGCCAAGGGACTACAGATGGAAATGGCTGGCTATAATCTGGCATATTTACATTTTTATGTTCATTCATTTGCACTGTCCCTATTTTAAATGAATAAATAATTAGTCTACATTGTAAAGTTATTAAAGTACACTAAATTCTAAACATTCAAAAACAAATGCTGTAGGGGTCCTGAACAAACTCCCAAGTGTAAGTTAAGATAGGATGCTTGGAGAATTTTAGAGGCGGCAACACTGCAAAAAGTCAAAGGTAACAAGTGGATGCAGATTTGCCACGAGGGAGGCATGAGTGATGCAAACACTCAAAAAAAGAGAGAAGGAACAGAAGTTTTAGTTCAAGGCTGAGCTGAACAAACATAATCCCCCCCCCCCCCCCCCCCCCCACACACACACACACACACACACACACACACACACGCTGAGTAGGCTGGTCACTAGCAACTAGCATTATTACGGTTGGTACACTGGCTATCTTGGGAGAATTGAGGCTGCACTAAAATATCAGCACTCTTACTCATGTGAATAATGCAAACTGTAAACTTTGCTTTTTAATGAGATCATCCATAGAAATTAAAAAGAGGTACAGAGATTTTCACAGAGAGCTCCAGCAGCCTAAATTAAGTTCAGGTTTCATGTCCACTTGTTTAACTTTAAACCCTTATTAGTGAAGTTCTCAGGTATCCAATTTATTATTGGACATGCACTCTTCTTTGTTTCATATTTTGTTTTTGAACGGACACATCCATGATAAACAGCCTACCCATTTTGTGTTTTTGTGATGTCAATAAATCGTAAATACGTTCTACCTGATACACAGTCTGCCTTACTTTGTGCCAACAAAGCAGCTGCTTGTTATTACAATATATTTCCCCCTAATTTGACCCATTTAATGAAGTTACTGTCAATCCTGCTTGATACATACAAGATTCTCCCTTAAAGGAACGGGCATGAAAGAAGAGCCCTGCAGACAACCTGACATAGCTACAAATCTGGCTAAATGGAAGACAGTGCCTGAAAAAGATACAAAACGGGTTCCTTAATAAGTCTCTGATGTTATACGAAGGTGATATTATCACTTACTAATTATCTCTCACAAATCAAAGCCCTCATTTCAGGAGCTGTAGGGGTGGAGGTTGAGATGTGAGGAAAAAGGGCGTAAGGACAGCTTGATGAAACAAGAAGGGCCTGTCAGCTCTGCTAATTTCTACACAGGGAAACCCCCTGCAGGGAGAATAAAACTAAATTAAGAAGTGTTAACAAGGATTTCACAGCCTGGCAATGAGTCATGGATGCCACACACTCACACAGACAGACACAAACACTGGCGGGGCCATGAGCAGGCACAGGAAAATACAAATTCAAAGCTTCTAACAAATGTTCAGCAGTATGAAAATGAAGACAATTAACACGTATAAGTGTAAAAGGCAAAAGATCAGACCTTCAGTTAAGATCACTGCTCTTCATGTACTAATCTGAGTCTTTTATTCTGTCTGCATGTCTCCCCTGAGAAACCCTCCATCATTTTATATGTGCTAAAAAGATAGTGTGTCAAGGCGTTAAGAGGATGAGCTGGAGAGAGCGTTGCAGAAATAGATGGGTTGTGAAATTGAGATGGTATTACATTTGGATGTTCTCATACTCTCTTTAATAGTCGAGAGGGCCAGTGAGATTTGCTGTTTTTCTTTAATTTACATCTCATTCCTCTCTTTCGCACCCTTTCATGTACTTCCTTGCTCACCCTCCCCCTCGACGTCCTTTATTCTTCTCTCTCTATTCCATTGCTCTCAAATGCAGATGTATAAAACATGCAGGTAAAAATTCAATTACACTTTAACAACATTTAAGAAGTCCTAAACTGCCAGTTAATGTGTACTCATTATTTAAAAAAGTGTCAGCATAACAACTCGCTGCGACTATTTATCAGCCCTACTTCAGTAACCACGGTTCAGCCAACATTAAATGCCATTAAGTGTGCACTTATGACACAGTTCATCAGAGCTGGAAAACTAAGAGAGAGGATCAGTGGTGGAAGCGATGAGGACTGAGAAAGAGCCAATAAGGAAAAGAAATGGAGAGGAAAAAAGCAGAAGAGAGGCTGTGTGTGTGAAATATGGAGAAATATTGGTAAAAGGACAGAGGGCGAAAGGAGAGCAAATCTTTTCAGAGAGCTGAGGCATGCAATCAAAAGTGCGTCTTAGGAAGGCCAGAGCTCATTGTCTGTCTCCCTGTAGAGTCCTACTTAATGAGGTATGCTGCCAAGCCTTAAAGTAGGAGGGGAATCAGCTATTCAGCTGCACAAAAGCAAGCTGGCAGACCCTGCATTCCCTCTATTAGCATCTCACACAACACACACACACACACACACACACACACACACACACACACACACACACACACACACACACGTACACACACGTACACACAGACACATACTTGACACACACCATCCTCTAACCAGTCCTGTATAATTCACCATTATCCTTCCTGCTGTCTGACTCAAGGCCAGTAATCTATAAATATATGTCAGAAACAAAACAAGATGGTGGACTGAGGTTCCCATCTACAGATCAGGGGCCCAGTCAGAGTCCTAGACGGTTACAGTAGCATGGATGTGTTTGGGAAAGAAGTGGAGCAAAGGAGTTTCTGAAGGATACACACACACACACACACACACACACACACACACACACACACACACACACACACACACACACACACACACATATATATATATATATATAGGTAATTTGTTTAAGGTTCATTTGTAATAATTTTAGGCAGCAGTAGCTCAGTCTGTAGGGACTTGAAATTGGTGTGGAAGCTGGTAGTGTGGTACCGAACCCCCCCCCCCCAACTCAGGAGCGCTCGCTGGGCAGCCCCCTCGCTCCGACATCTCTCCATTAGTGCACGTCAATAGAATCCTGTTTGTGCATGTGTGTATTTCAGAGTATGTGTGTGTAAGCATGTCTCAATAATGTCAAACTGAATTTCCACTTGCGGGATCAATAAAGGATATCTTAAAAAGTAATAGTGTAGCTATGTGTGTATACAAAATATCTCCCTGAGCATATCTAAATTGAGTTCGAATACAGACTGTGTTGAGGTCTAAGAGGTTTCCTGGTACATGTTTATTCTAAATTCTAGTTTCTATCTGCAAGACTACTTTAACACCACTCACAGGGTTGTGAAAATGAAATGACACCAAGGAAATGTCAATCATTTAAGAACAAGCAATAAAAATTACTTTTTTTTTAACATACTCTCTGCGAGTGTCTGTCTCTGATAAAATGAGAAACCTCAGCGGTTGAGGCCAGCTCTTCTTGTTAATTAGTGGTTACAACACCAGGAGTAAAAAAAAATATCTATATATTTACACATTACATATTGTGTTAATTATTTATTAATGAATTATTTAATTACATTAAATAGCAAATATGTGTCTGATCCCACCTCAGTCCAGTGTTTTACAGACAGACACACACAAAGTGAAAAGTGCAGCGCTTCACTGCATGAACTGTATCTGAAAATGTGTATTCTGAGTAACCACTTCCACCACCACACCCACTACCACTACTGATAAAAGTAGTATTTTCATTATTATTTTCATTATTATATGAGACTAATACATGTCTAGGAGGAGAGGAGAGGAGAGGAGAGGACAGGAGAGGAGAGGAATGGTATGGAATGGAGAGATGTTGTAATTCAGTTTGTGTCTCCATTGATTGGCTTCACAAGCTTGACACTCCACGAGCTCATAAAGCCATGTGTTTGTTCAACTCTTCACTCTTAACTCTTAACTACATACAGATTTGTGCGTATGTGTGCTCTACCCACACACGCTATGTGCCTGTTTAGTCAAGCTGCTTTTAAACAAATACAGGTGACCAATGTATGCCTTTGTTCAAGCCGGACTGCTTGATATCAGTATCATGAGTTCATGTCTCCTGTCTTCTCAGGCTTACAAAACAATTTCGGTTGGATGTTTATCGTCTCTGTATTTGAAATGTAAACTCACAGTATTGTTTAAAGTATATGTGCAGGACTACTTTACCTTTCGGACATTGATCCAGTATCCTATGATTCGGTCAGTGGCCTCTGGATCTTTCTGTGTCCACTGCAAGATGTAGGAGTAGTTGTTTCCTTTTAGGATTCGGACTGGGTTTGGCGTGTCAAAGTAGAATTCTGCATTGTAGGGTTGTGCTGTGGGAGGAGAAAATGTCACTGATAAGTGGCACTAAAAAGATACCGCTTCCATGTTAAATATGAATACAATATAGATTAATTAATAAATTAGAAATATACAATTCTTATACATTTCATCAAAAACTATGTCATTCACCTGAGACATTAAACGTGCATGTTGATGTCCCTGCGCTGTTGCTGACTCGACACTCGTAAGAGCCATTGTTCGTGGGCTCCAGCTTGAACTTGAGCTCCGGCGTCTCCTTCAGGTCTGGCATTGGCATGCGGATGGAGTCACCGTTTCGGAACCAGCGTATATCTGTTAGCCGAGGTGGGTTGGACCGCAGGACCGTACACCTAAGGGTCACCATCTGATAGTTCCTGGACCGCATGTCCTGAAAGACCGGGTCCAGTATGGGAGGATCTGTCAACAAATACAACTGTGAGCTCTTCTGCATTTTTTCTCATTTTAAAATTGATTCCTATAATCAGGTAGAGATGGAGATAAATTGAGGCAGAGAAGTTTTCAAGGCGATATCAAAGCTTGAAGACTGAGCTTATGAGACACACGCAGAGGGACCGTTTGGGCGCACACACATCATCATCCATGTCTCATTTTTTCTGCCTTCTTTCCATTCTGTTCTCTGCAGCGTAAATTTCCTCAGAGCATCAGATAACATTCGTTTTGACAAATTATCTGACAAGAAGCAACTGTTAGTGCCACAGGGGATCAGGTTTTTCTACATGGCCAAATCCCACCCCTGTTTGCTAACCTATCTTAACCAGCTGTGATTAACCTGTCAGCAGCAATGTGTGGCTCTGCGGTTAATGACTGACTAGCTGCTGTTGCCTTCGAGGTCACCCAAGACACAACACAGCAAAATGACTCTTCTACAAATCACCAGCCAGCTCGTCAGCAGCCCCCTGGCTAATCATGGAGATAATAGACAAGATGCTAATGGTGGTTTCGTCGTACAAACCGTGATGAGATCTGGTGCTAAGGCCCCCGGAGGTGAGGCAGCATGACAAGAGTCCCATATGAATCAAGTTTATCAGACACAGATGTGTAATTAGAGTCTAATCTATGTTATGCCTGTAATTTAGACGGATAGGGCAAGGAATGAACATCGGTAAGGAGGAAAGAAAGAGACAGAGACGCAGAGAAAGATAACATAGGGAGCTGGGGAGAAGACTGGGACAGATGCTTTTGTTGTGCTCAGTACAATGTGGAAACCTCAGGGTAGAATAAAACATCCCTGGTGTAATGACAATAATAATAGACATTGAACAACAAACTGTCATAGCAGTGATATGACTGACAAATGATTGTGATGTCTAAACATCCTGGTCACTGAACATAGAATACAAAGAGCTTTTCTTTTAAAATAGAAACCTTTAACTGGGCCATTTTGACTAGCTCCCTATCACTAGTGAAGGCCAAGTTAACCTTAAAGCCCCACTCAGGCCAAGCATTCAGGTTAAGGCAGGAAATTATTGTGACTAGGGCTGGGAATCTTGGGGTGTCTCATGATTCGATTCAGAATCAATTTTCAATTCAAAATGATTCTGGATTTATTGATCTGTGGATTCAAAGTCTATATTTGAATAAGCACACACTTCAGGATCTACTCCAGTCATCTGTGAGACTGGCTGCTTTTCTTTGTGCTCCATTTGGCAGTCTACTGAGTTAAAGAGCTAGCCTTAGCACTAAGCAGGGAGTGACTGATTATTCCTCCCTTCCCCCCCCAAAAAAAATAAAATATTTATTTAAAAAAAAAATTTGGAAGTTATGAATCGATTTTAAATCTTAGGAGAGAAGCATCTCGATTTTTACATGAATTTATTTTTTTCCCCACTTCTAATTGTGACCCGAGCTCAAAAGTTCAGTCCACCAGTCCAGGTAGGTCATTCTTGTCACCCTCGTTTCATGTATCTCCTGCAGTTTGCTCTAATTATACCGAGTTAACATTATTTTTTTTCCAGAAATAAATCTTAATCAGGAATTTAAATCACAGGAATATCACCTATTCAGTCTTACTTTGTATTATTGTTTTAATTTGTTTTGTTTTGTCAGCTTGTCAGTCATCACTAAAGCACTAGTCACAACTGCCTGTAATAATTCAATTCAACAGAAAGGTGCCAGATAAATAAAGTTTGATCAATTTATTTTTGTAGACTAACACTACATTATGTGGCTTGTCTATTTTTTATTTAAGCTTTATGAAACTTCACAAATTCTCTCTGTAACTAAAGCTTTATTCTGTATTTTGTATACTGGGTTTATGAAACCAAACTGAATCCTTGTCTGGAATTTACCATTCTGTGTCCGCCTCCAGTCACAGGAACAAAAGTAAGCACCTGCATGTTAAAAAGACTGGAAACCACCAGAACATTTTACTTTTCAACTTCTATTTTGCCTTTTTTATTTTTGGTTTAGATGACCAACAGAACTCCACCATATCCCTCTTTCATATTAGTTTGAATCCTAATTGTCATTTACTGCTGTGTGTGTTTTGACCTTTTCAATCAACTGTGTCGCCTACACTTGCCCACAGCCACGGCAGTGTCATGTGTTAGAGTTGAGGGATGGGTGTGTGGTCAGAGGTCATAGTGTAATCCTATGGGCTGATTAGTGTATGGTCACATACCCTGCTTCTGCTTATAGACACTCACATGCATACTGATGGCTATCTGACTTTGGAAACAGGTGGCAAGGGTAAAGAAAAGCAGGCAAACTGAAGAGATGGTTATGGAAGAAGAGAAGAGGAAGAGGAGAAGGAGGAGGTGTGTTGTGAGCTCGTGAGCAATTTATAAATCATGTCATCCCCTATAGAATTGGTAGACAAGTTCCAACAGTCCCTTACCTTGCCTTGAGTTTTTATTGCAGCAAGTATGTAAGTATCTCAACAGCATATTTAACTTTTGTTGTGGGGTTACTTCAATTTCTAACTTTTCAAATCCTCTGGAGCATTGTTTCTGCATTTTTTTTTGCTACTCATTCGAGACTCCACACTGCAATGTTTCATAGTCAGCAGACCATAATCCATGTGAAAACACCATCGCTATCTGTCTTATTGAATGCAAAATGGATTCCATCCGGGAACGCAACAGTGACCAAGCCAAACATTTACAGTAGACAAAGAGAAAATCAATTTACATGAGACCAAGAGAGGGAGGGAGTAAATTTGGGTGGGGGTGGGAGGGGGGGGGGGGGGAGAAACAACGACAATGAAGAAGACAAATGACGGGGAAAGTGTGGTGTGAAAGTGAGAGAAGTTGATGATTGAGTATGTGAGGTTGGGGAGAGAATGGGAGAATGTAGGATGCAGAAAGGGAATGACAAGACAGAGAGTGGTCCTCTCTCATGGTCAGCAGTCAGCTGATTGATGATGATGAGAATGGCAATGAGGAAGAACAGCCACCTCTTTTGGAAGGAAAGTAGGTAGGTGGGGAAGGGATACAAGGCGAAAAGAGGAAGTGGGAGAGGCGAGAGTGGCAAGAATCTGCGTATCCACTTAATTATATCTGCCATAAAAAATGATGCCATCCTTCCCTCACATCGATCAGCACAGCTAAACGGAAGGAGGCAAAACAGCCATGATAAAAGAAACAAATTAAGGAAAACGGAGAGAAGAAGAAAGAGAGGGAAGACTAGTAGGCTGTTGCTAAAAAGTTCCTTTCCTTTATGCTGTTATTTCTGTAAAAAAAACTATTTTTTCTTTTTTCCAGCTTTCTAACCTCCCAATCATACAGTTTTTTTCTTAGCTCCCCTGCGCCCTCCCTACCTTCCTCGATCACCCCTAACCCTGCTTTCCTGTTTCAAGCTCTCTCTTAACCCTGCTCCTCTCTCTCCCGCTCCTGCTCATGTATCTGTGTCATCTCTCTGTTGCTCTCTCGGTCCAGAGTGGGGTGGCCACCTGGTCCATTAATCAGACTTGGCCGGTGTGGACAGCAGAGCTCACAGAACGTTGCCCTTCCGCCCAGCCTGCATTAGCAAACCCTGTAAATCTTTCTAAAAAAAAAAGGAGAGGAGGGAAGTAGAGGGACATAGCTCCTAAGAGGAAAAGTAGTCTCAAAGAAACGTGATTTTAAACTCAACTGTTTCTATTACGCTCATTAGAAAGTACAGCACAAGTGTTGGTCCAGGCTGTACTTTTAATTGCTCTATAACAGAAATAAACAAGTCCCTCTAGTTTTTCTTAATGGGCAGCTGCAGCAGTAATTACTTTTGGCTCTCAGAAATGTCAGCACGCTCAAAGAAAAAGGCCTTAACTCTGAAAAATATGAATCCAGAAATAGTTGTACTACATGAATTATGATGATAAGTCTCAGAGCTAAAAATAGCACCAAAATAAAAGACTTTCTGAGAAATCTGAGGACGAAAGTCATATCCTTTGTTGTTTGATGAAACAGACTCCAGAGCTTTACTTTTACCTCTATTTTATTTCTCTATGTAGTCTTATAGAGAAGGTGTGGGATTAAGTCAGTTTATTCTTCTTCCTTATCTTTTTTTGTGATTGTAAATTGAAGTACCTATCTGCCTATTGTAAGTTTTCTTTTCTTCTCTTTATTACAGAAAATCAATTCGATTTAATATTTTATACACAGGACACACTCATAATGTGATATAAGTGTTGAATTGTAAACTGAATTACAGTTAAATTAATAAATCTCATGAAAGGAAACAACCACATCACAATGCAATGATACACTTCAGCGTGCTGCAATCCAGACTATACAAAATAATTAATTTAATAGCATTTGTTCAAGTAATGAATGTTAATTAAAACTATTGATGCACTCATACATGTCTTTATGGTTCAGAATAAGCATGGTGTCATGGAGATAGCTGTTTTTATCGGTTTGATTTCACCCATTTGTATCTTGGTGCTACATTAATAAAAACTCTTTCAACTATTTTCCTAGAATCAGGGGTCCTGTGTTTCTGCTGCTGATGACAACTTATAAGGTTCACTGATTTAGCCCACCTGGTGTGCCAATACAATCAAAGCATATCCAGTGTTAGTCTAAACACAGGGCAGAAAACTCTTTTCTGATAGCAAATTAAACTGTAAAACACAAAAAAAAGGTAATGAACAGTGGGAAAATGTTTGGAACTAGAAACTGCAGACAAGCACATGCAGCTTTGAGAGACAAATTATTTGGTTTGGTAAAATTAGATAAATGAAGATGTCTATGCTGATTTTGGTAGATTGTTTTGAGATATAATTCAAATGTGAATTTTTCGTTTTCCTGTCTCATCCTGTTCAGTTTCTTTACTTTGTTTACTACTTCCTTTTCTGTTGCTTCTACTGTTGCAGAGGGTTAATTTAGGTTTCATATTATCTTGCTTTAGTAGGAGAAAAGATGCTACTATGAGTGTTGAAAGCAGTCATAACAAATCTGAACTTGTTTACTGAAAATTGCAAGAAATGGTTTTCTCAACAAACAAACTAAGCCTCCTGCTGATATGAAAATGGTTTTGTATCTTGCTGTATGCTAGCTTTAGGGTGAAAAAGTCAGAAGGACACATTCGAGTCCAAGACAAATATGCCTACAGGAAAAATAACGTGAAATGCATTGTGTCACATGGCATGGCATGGCATGTCATGGGATGGCTCTTCAGAGGTAGCAACAGAGGCATAACAGAGGCGAGACGGTTTCAGAGGAGCCATGGGGGATACACAACACTGTGTGTGAGCATGCCTGACTGTGTGTCTATGTGGAGCTCCTGCTGTGCTATGCTTCCGCAACACTGAAACACAATATAAATTCATAGACTAGGACACCAATATAAATGTACAAAGGAGTGATGACGGCTGAGCTTAGTTATGGCACTTTAGCGAAAGAATTTGTTTGAAAAGGGCTACTGTAACAAAAGGTATACCCCAGGGGTCAGTCCTTAGAACACTTCTAAGACTGGTTGCTGCCACTTTTCTGTCTGCAATGGACTATGGGGATGTCTTAAAAATGCATGCCTCTTCCCAAAGCTTACATTAAGTGTATCCTGGAGCTTTAAAGTTCATCACTAATTTTAGAAGCCTCACTCATCACTGTTTGTTGTATGCAATGGTTGGATGGTTGTCTTTGTTCACAGGCAGACTTTAGTTTTGCTTCCTTCGTACATTGTAACCAACATCAGACAGAAGAGTAAAGGAACGTACAGTCTTCAGTAACAGGATCTTTTCTTACTGTCTGTTCCAAAGGTCAGAAATGAACAGGGCAAAAAAGGGTTTAAGTTTCCTGCACCCTTTAATTAGGAGAATGACAAAAAGAGCGGAAACTAAATGAACTGATCTAATTGGATGCTTTTTAGGTGATTTTAAATTACTTGGAGGAAAGTACATCTGACTGTAGATGTCTGCCTAACATAATTTTGACTGGTAGATTCAGACTACTATTTGATATTTTACTTTAGGTTGACATTTGATGTATTTTAGTAATAGATTCATGATTCTTATATTTTCTTTGTATAAATGGCTGCTTGTTGTTTATTGGAAACTTTGATAACTGTGCTGCAGCCCTTCTTGGCCAGGACACTCTTGGAAAAGAGACTTTATATCTTAAAGAGTTTTGTCCTGGTTAAATAAAGATTAAATAAAACACTTACACAGGACATTGAGTTGGACCTGTGCCTCCCTGCGTTTGATGTTAAGCCCGTTGTATGGAGCAGTCTGGCAGCGGTACAGCCCCATCATGTCCCTGCTGACATTCTTTAGTCTTAAGCGCCCATCCGGTGTCTCCACCATGGTCTGCCCTGATGCCATCAGCAGGTCCTTTTCAGTGCGTGACCAGAGTATAGGTGGGCGTGGTTTGCCATCCACCACCAAACATACCAGGTCAGCGTTTCCCCCCTCTTGCACATTCACCACCTGCCCTCCTGGTGGTACGGACAGCACTGGTGGAGAGACTGGAAGAAAGGGAGAAAGAGGGTGAGACATAGTAAGAAGAGGTGTTTTTTCAGTGCTTCTTTTTGAATTTAAAGAAGCATAAATGACATATTCGAAAAGAAGAGTAACTTTTTACAATTACAGAGACTGCTTTAATAAAATAAACAATCACAATTTTAAATATTATAGCTTGAAAATACCTTTAAAAAGATAGGTATTACAGCATGTCAGAGTACTATAATTTAAATAAATGATTTGTTTGTGTAGGCCGGAAGATGAACTTCGACAAAGGTTTACTAAGATATTCAATTTCGGAGGAGAGGTGAATCGCTTCAAGATTTTCAACTGAGTCCAGTTGCCTTTGGATCAAGCTTTGATTTACCTGGAAGACTGACAACCTACTCAGACATATTCAATTTCCTTTTTTACCCTTCTACATTGTGTGCTTTCAAAGGCTTAAGTGCAGATGAAAAGTTTAGATGGGTTTTATATTGTGATTTAACAAGTCAGAAGGTGGACTTGACTTTCAAATTACAGATGGCATGAACAGAAACATTTTACAGCAGAGACAGATGGACAATATAAAAGGTTTAAAAGATAGACATTAACAAGATTATTTTATCAAACATTCACCACACACTTTTAATGCCACTTGGGGACATTTAAAAGCATTACAGCTCAGAAGACTGTAATAATGTATAGTTATAGACAGTACTGACCAAGAAAGCAATATTGGAATAAGGCAGAGAAAGAAAATACTGTAGTGTGGTTGTTGTATTTCAGACGACAATAAAGAAAAATACTCATTCTAACTGTTCTTGGAACTCAAAGTGGTCACATAAGGGCAATAGCTACATCAATGCTTTTACTATGGCACATTGGGATTGTTTTTTTATATGTTGTTCGAAAAAAGAAAAATGTATTGAGCCATCAAATGACTTTTTTGACAGTCTTACTTAGTTTTTCAACAACTACTGACAGATGTTTAAAAGTCATGGCAGTTTGTCAGCTGGGTAGATAAATGATACATAAGAGAAAAGTAACATCGCACCGCTGTTCTGCGAGATGTTGACATCCACGCGGAGCTCTGGCACCCTGCTGCCTGGGAAGTTTGCCACACAGCTGTAGGTAGCCAAATCTCTGAACTTCATGTCCACAATCTCCAAGCTGCTGGTGCCAGGCGCCATGTCGGGGTCACTGCGTAGCAAGATCAGGCTATCCGAATTGAACACAGGTGCACTGTTCTTGTACCAGGTGTAGTTGACCTTGTCCTGTGGGGTGGCGTCGACGTGGCACGACAGCTTGAGGTCCCTACCCATCTGGATGGTCTCGCTGTCCTTGTTGGAGTCAGGAGTAATCTGGAAGGTCAGGTTACCCATCGCTGTGGGTGGTGGTGGAAGGGTGAAGAAGAAGAAGTGAGAAGAAGGGTTAAGGGTAAGAAAGAGTTGCTTTATATTCTTTCCCCTGAAACATGAAAACTCTCCAGTTTTCTAGTCTACTCTGATTGATCACTTTGTAGTTTATTCACAAAAAAATTGATCAAATCACAAATATATGCACTACAAAAAAAATTAAAGGGTTGTGTACAAGTATGCAAATTATGAAATATTTTGAATGATATGTCAAAAAACAAATTCCACAGATGCTGAAGCACTTGGCTTAATACCGACTTAATACTGAAATGAACTGGTGGCTCTTGCACAAGTCTGCTTTTAAAATTGAGGTCCTTACTGGGATGTTGAAGTGATTGAAATATGCTTACAAAAATATAATATCATTGTGTGATCATTATTATGTGGTTTTATATATATATATATATACATACATGTACATAAATGTATACATAATTTTTTTTACATGCTACATAAACTTTTTAATTTTACTTTAGCAGCACATTTCTATGTATGCAGTGCCAATAAAGTGTGTTGTACATAAATTAAATTTGACAAAAATATTTTAAGGGATAACATCTGACAGAATGAGTTGTTATTAAAACTAAAAAGGGGATGAAGTGGGGTAGATATAGAGCGATAGCTGAGTCTTTGGTTTGTGTGGCGTACGGAGGGGGCAGAATGACAGAAAGACACCAAAGGAAAAAGGAAATTGAAAAAGAAAGAAAAAAGAATTGGAGGAAGAAGCAAATTGTGAAGGAGGAAGAGACAAAAGGCGCCTGATCCAGAATAAAATAACAGGGGGATTAGAGGGAGGGGGGGAAACAAAATCAAGGACAAAGAGTTACTCTCACACTGTCACATTTAATTTTCAGTTTCAAAGGCTGCGTTTCCCCAACAGATTTCCATGTTGAATACAAAACAGCTCTCTGTTTCCCAGCTAAGGGAAGAGACAGGCGGAGAGGAGGAGAGGAGCGCTTGATTTAAACTCCTTTACAGCTTGTTAACAAGATGCTTGGGTGGAGTTGCAGGTATAATGCAGTGACCATATGTTTAACGACTCTACCTGGTTAGTGTGGAGACAGTGTATGTACGTGTGAAGCAGTGACGCCTGCCTATACCTACAAGCTTCTTTTTCACAGCCTGAGCTCTGTGAAGGTGTGTGCGTGCATGTGTGTTTGTGTGTCTCATTCAGCGTCTCGCCACCTGTGCTGGTGCGATGATTCGTTCAGGCCCATTAAACTAACAGGAGAAACTCATCCAGCATACGTTCTCTACAGTGTGTTAACTAACAGAAGAGACTGTCGCTAATTGCTTCCACTCCAGTCTAACTAATTGGAGTGAATAAAGATGATTAAAGGGACTAAAAATAGCCGGAGGGGAGGGAGAATGGAGGGCTTCTGTTTTAACAGCAGGAGAATTAGAAAAAGAGCCATACTTAACAGGCCTTTTCTGACAAGATTTACATCCCCTCACAGTAATGATGGATCAACTGCTTTCTTGTTACACATCGCGCACACAAGTACACTCAAACACTAATGAATGTTTTTACACACATTCACAAGCACAAGCACAGGGTCAGTGAATATAATTTGGACAGATAATTCTTCTAACTTTCAGTGAATGTAATCTTATCAACTTTAAACTTTTACAGAAATAGGCTTTGATAAAACTCATTATGCACCTTAACTTGTAGCCAGTGAATAAATGCATACCCAGACATACCATCACTTTACTCACCCCTGTTCATCAAGAATTCCCCCACTTTCTACTCCTCTGTCTTTTTTTTTTGGAAACAAACAAAAGCATGTGTTACTTACTCCTGACAACTACGTTGACATTCTTGCGAGCCGGGTTGCCCACATTGTTGACAGCTGTGCAGTTGTAGAAACCTGCGTCAGAGGGCGTGACCGCACGTAAAATCAGCGTTGGCCCCCTGACTTGGGCGCTGAGAGGAAGAGGGCCTGGGTAACGTGACCACAACACAGTTGGGAGGGGGAAACCTGCCGTCACCTCACAGGTTAGGAGCACATCCTGGCCAGGATCCACCACCACTGTGTCGTTCATTGACAGCCGGATCATTGGGGGCGCTGAGGAGGGGGAGTCAAAGGGGGAGGAAGAGAGAAAAAAGGATTAGAAGTTACATCTTACAGATCTACTGTAGGTTTCCCTTGAAACTTTTCTACCATTTTGAAACAGGTGTGGATGTTGACTCCTTGCATGTAAGCGATGATATCAATTGAGAGGTTTAATAAGAAAATGCAATACTAATGTGTGCACATAATAAAGTGAAGGAAACATAATTCTAGTTTGCCATAAAGCAGGCAGGTACTTGTTTAAATGCATCCTGAGCACCAATTAATCCAAAATGCTCATAACAGCTTATTGATATTCCAAGGGAAGGAGTCAAAGCTGACTCTGGAGGATGACCACACCTCACTGTAGTTAGCCCAAACAATCATCTCATCACCCACCTTAGCAGAAGGGTCAACCAAATATGTCAGAGGGGATAAGTGGAATAATGTGCTTTTTTCCGCCCTTATAGTGTACTTGCATGTTTGTGCTTGTGATTCATCGTGCATTCATGTGATTTAGTTCCAATGACCTGTTCTCAGTACACATTAAACAGTAGACCAAAGGCTTTTCATGTCTCTGTTCCCCTGCTCTCACACTGTGTCCAATGGCCACTGACGACCTCACAGGAGAAGAACAGGGTGACCCACTATACAACCACAGAGGGGAAAAAAAACCTGTTGTCATAGAGAGATCAATTGGACCCCAGCTGTTTCAGAATAAGAACAAAAAAACTGAAGAGCAGTGAGAGGATGAGGTACAGACACTACACAGTAGAGTACAGTCAGAATAACCATTACTTTTGTGCAGCTCGGTCCAACTGTTGGTGAAAATTTAAACCGAGCTGACATTACAGTAGCAGAGGAAGGAAACACTGTGGACTTCTATTTATAAGGAGGTCAGAACTGTGACACCCACAAGTGGTAAACTGTTACTCTGTGTTTGCCGGAAATGAAAAAAACAGGATATTTTTGTTGGAGACTTTATAGTCATGCATCATGTCTGTTAGATGACACCAAATGTAAGCCTCTGATATATAATCTGCTCGCTGGTTTAAGAGTTATTGGAGGAGGCCTTATGTGTTACAATAAATTGCAGGGCTTTCACAGTCAACGTTTTGTAATTGTCTGTTTCAACACAACTCCAAAGTACAACTTCTAGCAGTGGCATTTTTGATTCTTGTTGATAAAATGTTAAAAATGGGACTCTTGTGATCTACTTTCAAGTTTGACATTATACATTTAGTATACCACATTGAAAGTTTTTAAAACAATTGAAATGATCCTCCTCCTCCTTGCAATCCTATCTGCAACTTGTAAGAGGTTTTTGCACAACTCGCTTAGGGAATAAATGGGGTGACAGGGAGGTAACAATGACAGAAATGAGCTTGTGACCCCAACGTCGCCTGTTCAAATCCCTCAGGTGGCTACAGACTTCTTTTTTTTATTTTTTTAGTGAAGTATAATAAAGTTATTTCTCCCTGTCCCTTCTCTACAGTAAAAACACCCTGGGTAAAGCAGTGAAGTTTCACTTCCCCTGCTTCACTGCTTATTTGAATTGGCCTGTCAGGAGTAAATGTATGTAGCTGTTTGTTTACATTTCTTTTTTTAAACTATTTGTTATAACAAACACAATTTTCTGTTTTCTGTAAATGTGCCTGATCAACTTGCGTCTTTGATTTAAGCTCCTATTCTTTATTACCCAGCAGGTGATTACTGTAATGTTTGCAATTATCACTCATAAATTTCAGAGTTGTTTTAAAAGGTAAAAGTTTGTAACTGATCTTGTGGCACAGTTCAAATGTATTCACTATATCTGCTCCTTTTGATATGCTTAATACTGTATGCTCCTCGTTTGGAAAATATCTAATCTGACACAACCTAGAAAGACACACATACACTCATGGATTATTTTTCAGTAATAATTTATTCCAATTCAATGGAGGATGAAAGATGAAAGACGCTTACTTTCTCTGAGAGGTTTAGATGTTAAAAAAAACAAAAACAAACCTGACCTCATGAGAAACAGGTGAGTCTGCAGCAACATGATGAAATCATATTTTCAGAAATGTTTTCTGTCTGGCCTCTCAATTTTGAATTAAAAAATAAACAAGAAAAAAAACAAAAACAAGTGTGAGATGGTCAAAACACACTTCTTCTTCCATCTCTGTCTACAATCCAGCAACCACATTAAAGTTTAATAACCCCCAAGCTTCATCTGAAGAACTGATGAGTTTGCACGTTTTAGTACTTTTTATTCTCAGTATCTTTTTCACTTTTGTCTTCATATTATTTTTTAGAACACATTGCAGGGACATACTTAAGGATCAAATAATCATTTACAGCTCTTTACATCAAAACGTAGTGCTTATTCTAAAGTTAACTCCTTTTAGCAGCCAAAACTCCTAGCTTGCTTTCTTTTTCCAGACACACAGCTCAATATCAGCATAGTGGATGCTTACTCAGATAAGTAATAAAAGACATCAAGACCAAGATGTCTTTTTCTGTGTGCTTGTCATTGTTTACAATTCACTCAAAAACTACAATGCATGTTCGACATATTAAACAGAAGTATTATCTGCACATAGAGCAGATGTCTGTTTATAAAGATTAACTCAAAGGTAAATCCTCATCACAAAGGTTTCAGTATAATAGCATTGTGACTGATGTGTTACCCCTCTTTTACTCTGAACAAACTGTGAAAGCCAGCTGAAAGGGATTGGACCATACTCCATGGAAACCAGGACCCTTCGGACACCTTTAATCTTCACCTCTGCCTACAGATTTTGTATACGCAGATATCTGTACATAAAGAGGATGATGGCTTTATTGTAACAAACATTGATTTACCTGTAAACGTCTCATACACCAGTTTAAATTAATGACAATTTGTTAATGTGAATCAATGTGATATTTGTGGAGCATTAATCTAAGGATGATTTTCATTTAACTGTATTACAATGAACTATATAATAAGTGACTGGTTAATAAGTGAATGGGAATTAAAATGTGTAAAAGGTAAGTATTGAAGGATTCTTAATGAACACAGTGCATGTTAAGTATGTACAATTATAATAACAATGTCTTTTCAATCAAGCCATTAAGTTGATGGTTCATTATGAATTAAGGCATTTCTGCTAAAAAGGTCTCCAGAGAAAGACATTAAGCTACGAACCAATCAACACGCAGGATTGGATCGATGACAGTCCAGAGCATGGGGAAGCATTTGTGATGAGTAAACCTCACATTATTAAAATATTACGGTAATCCTGTTATATCATTCAGAAAATGGGAATTTTTAAGGAGGAGGATGTGTGTAATGTTATTGTCTTCCATAAAAGGATTTGCTATGTTGAACATTCTGGGGATGCATTTTTTAAGGTTTGGACTGTTCGTATTTGAGCAGCATCCTCCAGAGCAGGCCCTTTGCATGTGCTCTGGAGGACAAGGAGGAGGAGAATCCAGGCTTTTTATCGACCTGAGAGAGTTAATCCTCAGTGAGAGACCGACCCCCCGAGTGCAGGAAGCAATTCATTCCTCTAATAGACTTTATGCAGTATATCCTCTCATCTAATCTCTTTTTTAACAGATTGCAATCGCCGTAATGAAAGAGGTGCACAGAGGCTGGACAAACTGGTTTACAGATGCATGTTTCTACTATTACAAGACCGTGCACGATGCTGTGCACACACGCACACAGGCATGTGATTTCTTAAATAGGTGACAAAAATGTGCATGCAAAAACACAAACTAATGGGATATCTCTTTAGATAACCTCACTGGTGATGACTCTCAAGCTGACAAGAAATTTCACTGGTGTAACAACTGCAATCAGTGCATAAATAGCACTGTCCACTTCCATTGTATCAAATCATTATGCTGGGGAAGTAAATCCCTTTGGGCCTGTAGAGCGCTCTGAGTATGAGCCTCCATGAAAAGTGATCCGAGATTCAAATCTTTCTTTATAAACACAGCTATTACACATTAAAGCATCAGGGCAAACATGAATTTTGACTAAAGTCCCATACTGTATGTTTCCATAATTGACTAAACTTGCATTAAAAGGTCTTAAATAAAATATGTTTTTTCTCTGAGTTAACTTCTGTTAACATGAATTCAAAACACGCTCAACCCTTTCAGTTATTTGAAGACTCTGAATTAGATTAAGGCGAGCAACTTAAATATTAAAAAAAAAAAGACCAAATTCCACATCCAATCCCAAGATCAGAAAAGGCCGAAAGTACAGTGGAGAGATAGTCTGGGAAGGGGAAGAAAAAATAAGAACAAGAACTATGTGTGAAGCCAAAGGGAGGGAGGAACTGAGGATTTGAGAATTATAGCTTCAATTTCCTGGGGATGCGTGGGTGACGGTAACGGTGGGATCAGCCAGCGCTCTTCCCAAAGTAATGGGATTTATGTGCAGCACAGCGGTTTACAACCAGGTAACAAATGCACCCTCTTCCACGCCTGCACTCTCCACTCCCTTTTTTCCTCTTTCCTCTCTGTCAGTTTGTCACCTCTGTATCTTCAATATCTGTGCTTTTTTTTTACCTTCCCACTTCTCTTTCTCTACACTTGGTTCTCATTCTTTGCGCTCTTCACATTTTTTGTTCTCTGCATCCTCTCCATCACTTTCTCTCCGTCCCGTACCACCTTGCATGCTGTCTGACCTGTTTCAGATTTGTAGGGACTAATCCATCTATGAGGTAAAGACAGAGGGTTATTGGGGGGAAATCGGCTGGAAAAAAAGGCTTAAAGGTTTAGATAGAGGAGTGAGCTGACGGGAGCCCGGCAGATGTTTTGTATGCAGGAACACTGGCTATTACCTTTACGTCAGTCTAACATACAGTTACTGTAGCAGATAGGGGGCCAGCTAGCAGCCAAAACAACTTTGCTTAGTTGGTGAAAAAAGGAGGGTTAGAGAGGTAGGTGTTTCTGGAAACTGAAGAATCGTGGTTATTACCTTTCTAAGCACAGATAAAACCCTGAATAATGCTGAGTAGAGGAAGTATTTTAAA